CCTTGAAACGTTGAGTACTGCATATGCTCCTTCAGTCAGCATCTGTTTCATCAGTATCAATTGTTTTGACCGATGCCACTCCTTACCCAAATGCTGATTGAACAAGCGGCCAATATCTACATGGTTTCTGTGACGATATGCATTCTTCCACATTTCAGTTGAATGATAAAAATTTATTAGGAAAAACATCAAAAAACCTTATGATCCACTCACCAGCATCCCATCATGAACATCTGAGTTTCTGACCCTCACTGATAGTTACATAACTTTCCCACGTCATTTACCAAATCCAAACAAAAGATGCCCAACAGACATATTGCAGAATATACTGAAAAGCACACCCCACAAATTCTCAACCCTATTCACCAAGTGTGAACCTTGCTTCTAATGGGCAATTGATGATGATAACCACAGTTTAACCTTTAATGCTCATGACTGTCAAGTAGAGGATCTAGCAGCATACCGGTTGACAGAGAGGAGATCGAAAACTGCGGAGACTGTTATAATCGGGCACAGCATAACACCCTTGATATCAGTAGCATCATTTACATTCATATCCGTGTTGGCTTCACCACGTTCTACATAATCACAGTTTCTTACCTCAGCCACATTTTCAGTATTTGCTTTGGATCACCAGATTAATGAACTATCTATGCAACTTACACCCACCCCAATTTTTTCTCATACTTTTTTCTTTCAAATAACCTTTTCTCTCAAACACCCCTTTAACCCAAAAATACCATCAAATAAGAGTAAAATGCCCTCCTTTCCTCTCACACGGCTTCTCTCTCCTAATTCCCATTTTCTATTTACCCTGCTTCTCTCTCTCCTGTTTCCCTATCTTTTTACCCACGCAGGAGAAAAGTTCTACCCAAGGTTCGTTCTCACCCACGGCCCATCTCTCGCTCTCTCTCCAGCCTGAGGTCCCTCTCGATCTATCGCTGGCCCGATCTCCCACCTCTCACGTTCCCTCTCTCTCTCTCTTCGAAGGAACATCAGGGCAACCTCTCTACCACACTGAGGAGGCCCTAGCTCCCTCCCTCTCTCTACGAAAGAGACCACGAAACGCTGGGTTCTCTGTAAAGGCCCGATCTGTGGGGGTTTTGCTTGTTTCAGATACATGGCTGTTCCTCATTCTCTCTCTTGATATTTTTTTTTTTTTTGGATCTTATTATTTTGTGCAATCCCATATCAGTATTAGCACAACATCTTCTAAAAAGAAATTAAAAATCATAATGATTTCTTAATTTCTTGTATGATGAATGTAGTTCAGTTCGGCCTTTCTATTTAAACATTAACATATCGTTGTGGATATTTTCATGATTTTGTTCAATTTTTCTTTTTTTTTGGGGATTTGTCGAGTACAATTAGGTATTATCTGAATGCTTTACTGCATTGTACATATGAAATTGTAGCATGTTCAGGGCTTCGAATTCTCGACACACTGTTTATTTATCTCGTTTGTTGATGTATTATTTTGATTGATTTCTTTTTCTTCATGTTCACCAATCTAAGCATTTTTTAATGGGTTTGGTGTTCCTGTTATTATATGTTCCAGCATTTCATACTTCATCAAAATGATTTTGGTCAAATTACTTACATTTTTTGGGCTATTATATAGTTGCATATTGATATATCTACAAATATTATTTTATTTAAATGGAGGGCTTGAAATCTGAATTCTGCAAAGGCATGTCAATGTTGGAACCTAAAATCTTCATCCATTTGGTAATGAACATTTCTTTCTATTGTACATGTTATGTCCAAATCATCATGTTATTGATTTATTGTATGATAGCATTGTTCATTTATTTGTAAATTTTATTGTTGTGTTTCTTATACTTAAACGTGTTATATTTTCTGGTTTATTGTTACCTGCTACCTTTGGATATTTATCCTTTATTCAAGTTCTTTTGTTTGATATATCATGTTCATGCTCTGTGCGCATTGTGTTTGTATTGAGATGTTAACAGTCAAGAAATGGTGAAAGAAACAATTGGGTAGTAAAAAACATTCATTAAAACGTCCAATTTAATGATAACCCACTTGTTCTTTGTTGGTTTCTATTTTCCACAATTGGTCCGTTATCATGCTAATCATTTATCTAAGCAATTTGCATCGCCAGACTTATTGGGGATGGACATCCATAAAATTGTAACCTCAAATGTTGTAACTTTTCTCAGTTTCCTTTATCTTCATGATACATACTAGTGTTGTCAAAAAGTCATTAGTTTTGTGTTCAGATAATAATTACGTTTGTTTATCTGTGGAGTGTAAATTATTACAAATCTTGTGCAGGAAAAAAAAAAGAGTGATAGCAGATTGATTTAGTGTATTTTTGGTGGAGAAGTCCAATCAAATGTCGATGGGACTTTGAATTATATTAGTGGTGATGCATGTACATTTATAATTGAAAGTAGAACTAGGTTAGATGAACTACAAAAATACGTAGAATGCATTTCTCTCTAGATATGCAGTTGGTATCATTGAGGTATTTTGTCTCGAGAAATAGAAGATTTTTTGTGAACGTATTAATTGACGATAATATTGAGAGAATGTTGAATGCACATAAAAGAGATAATAATCTCTTCGTTTATGTATTTGATGGGAGTGAACAAAGGGGTGGAAGTACTTCACATAATAATAGGGCATTCGAAGAGGTCAGACCCCCTCTTAGATCTAATTTATTGCACTCTGGTTCCGAACAAAGCAACGCACCAAGGTTGCTTAGCTCATAAAAGGATGCACTTATCAGTATAGGGCAACAATTTGAGTCTCTAGATGACTTCCGAGAAGCCCTTAGCAAGTTTGTTATAGTACACCATTTCACATACCATCTTGTTAAAAATGTGGGGTCCTGCATAAGGGCAAAATGCAAGGGTGATGGATGCAAATGGGAAATATATGCTTCGAAATTAGGCAGGACGAATGTTTTTATCATCAAAACATGGAAAAGGGAACACTCACGTAAGATTGAGACGAGCAATGATGTACAGAGAACAGTGTCACAAAAATTTATTGCATCTTTAATCAATGATAAATTAAGTGACACTGCGCATTACAAGGCTAAAGAAATCATGAATGATTTGTCTCGAGATTATGGGGTACAAATACCCTACTGCAAGGCTTGACGAGGGAAAGAAACGGCCATCAAAGACATACATGGTTCACAAGAGGAGGCATACAACCAGTTACCCGTATATGTAAACCGTGTGATGGAGACGAATCGTGATAGTTATGAGACAGGATAAATATGGCAAGATGGCAGATTTCGTCGAATGTTCATAAGCTTTTATAGCTCAATACATGGCTTCAAAAGTGGATGTCATCCACTTATATTTCTCGATGGGGCATCACTCAAGGCGCGATACTTTAGAACTTTACTTGCTGCCAACTCATTCGATGGGGAAGAACAAATGTTTCCTGTTGCATTAGCTATTGTAGATGTTGAAAGTACCGATAACTGGGTACGGTTTATGGAATCTCTAAAGATTGCTATTGGGACAGATTGTGAAATTTCTTTTTTGTATGATAGACACCTTGGCTTAGTTGATACTCTTTGTCAAGTTTTTTAGAATACTCATCATGCCTTCTGTGAGCATCATTTAGAAGAGAATTTCAAGAAGGAAGCAAAAGACATACCTAATGATATTAAGAAGGCAGTTGTTAAATATTTTATCGGAGCATGTAGAGCATAAAGACCGCAAGAGTATTTTGAGAAGATGAATGAAATTAGGTCAATTTTTGAGGACGCATTGAAGTAGTTTATGGAAGCATCGCCAGACCGTTGGGCCGCATCACTCTTCAGGGGTAACGATATAATCAAGTAACAACCAATGGATTGAGTCATATAACAATTGGATTCTAGAAGCACGAGACATGCCAATTCTCCAGTGTATTGACTTGATTAGAAGACAAATCATGAACCTAATGGTCACCCGCAGTTTGGAAGCTAAAACATGGACTACAACACTTACCTCACATGCGCAAAACGAACTCAGATTGATCATAAAGCAATCCCTTTCTGTTAGCGTTATTGTATCAAGTGGAGCAGTGTTTGAAGCAAGAGGTGATCACATGATATATAAGGTAGATATAATTGCACGAGAATGTGAATGCCGAGGTCGGCAAATAACGGGCTTGCCTTGCAAACATGCTTGTAAAAGGCTTCAATGGATGCATAGGAATCATGTAGACTATTGTGAAGGCTATTTCACGATTGCAAAGTTTCGTGAAACATATTCCGAACCTTTCGTGCCAATTACCTTGATTAATCTATCTGGGCATATGCATGGACAACTTCCTCCAAATGGAGTAAGAGCACTTCCACCTCACTCAAGACGGCTCCCTAGCCGACCTAAAAAGAAGCACATTGAGTCACAGGAATTACCAGTGCGACCTATTCACTGTAGTAGGTGCAAAGGAACTGGTCACAACAGGGTAACTTGTAAAACACCGACTTGAAGGCATTTTTTTTAGTTGTCTTCTTTGTTCTGTCTTTTTAAATTATAGCACCCACTTGTGGGAAATTTTGGCAATACATATATTTTTGCCAGTACATATATTGGATATGCCACTTTGCTCTCTCTTTTTTATTGGATATGCTATTGATTTGTTTATAGTGTTTGTTCCACTTTAATTCATTTCGAGAGATTAGCACACATATATTGGATATGCAGCTGTTCTATATCTTTTTTTATTGGATATGCTACTTGTAGTTATTTTTTTATGTCAACTATGAAAATAGAGTTAGCAATGCAAGACCCGAAACATTTAAGAGGCACAAGGGAGCCATCCTCTTCATCAGGTCAAAGGCAAGAGGTATGATGGTCTATTTGTTTCAGTTAATGATTTACATTGATTAGGTATTTCTCATGTTATTGACTATTGCAATTTCTTGTTATTATTCATTTTAGGAGAGAAATGTACTTCGATTGACGAATCAACTCAAGCCCTAGTAAAATGGAAGATCGACCAACGACAGACCGGGTTGGACCCATTGATAGATATTGGGGTATCACATATCGATTGCAATCTAGTGAGGGCATTTATAGGGAAATGGTGCAAGGACACGAATACTACATTTCTAAGTATTGGTGAAATGGCTCCAACACTATACGATGTGTGGCAGATATCAAGGATACCCGTGACAGGTGAGCATGTAATCGGCATCAAGCCTGAAGACTATGTTGCGTTCATCTGGGAATATCTGGGAGATTGCCCTAAAGACGTCACCCCAATGCGTCTCAATCATACATGGTTGAGGAGTGGATTCGCCCAACTACCAAAAAAGCCGACCAAATTACAACTCATGCAACACACACAAGCATATCTCATTTATTTAGTCGGCACAACTATATTTGCCAACTCATCTAAAGGACTGATGCTTTCAATATACTTGTAATTGTTTCGAGATTTTGATGAGGCAGAGAAGTATGCATGGGATGTTGCGGCGCTTGCTTTTTTGTATCGTTTGTTGTATAAGGTCGCACGGTAGGGAAAATATCATTTTAGTGGGTCAGCGACCTTACTACAGGTATTTCTCACTCTCTTTATTATTTCATTTCAGAATATTACAATTTCTCACTATTTTTGGCTTCTTACTTTTACTTCTTCTACAGTGTTGGTTCTATGAGCATTTTCGAGCTCTAGCCACCAAGCCTACATTGGTCATAAGCCCAGGAATGCCTAAGGCTTGCATGTGGAAGAAATAAGCACACCACAAAAACATCTCATTTGATAACATCTCGTTTGATATGGTTAGTTATTGGCTTATGTGCTTATAATCTAGTAGATAATCAATCTATGGTTAGTTATTTGACAACGTCTCATGCTTATTTTTGTAGGTAACCTGTCAACCATATGAGGAGTCACATGAAATTACAGGGTACTTCATCTATCGATCATACCTTATCAGTTTCTACATTGCAGAGTACTATATGCCAGATTGCGTGTTGCGACAATTTGAGAAGTTGCAAGGTATTCCTATTATGCCACCCAAGTGGGATAGGAAAGAGAAGGTTGGTTTACACCCCCACAAATTGGGTTGTAGAATTGGGTAGGCAGATAAAAGATTGGAAAGCACGAGAACGTAATGTTGTTAAAGCAACCGTAGATAAATCTGGTGGAGTACCTACAGCAGAGTACATGGCCTGGTACAACATGTTTACGCAAGGAAGAAAAACCCCATTTCGCCCCTCGTCGTAGTCGCAATCTCATGTACAACCCTCAGCAGGCCAATCCCAGAATAATAGATTGGTATACTATTTATTATATGTTTATTCTAATTTTATCGTCTTAATATATCTTAAAATTATGAAAAATATATCTACTGGTCAATTTTTTTTTTTTATTCTCTACTTGCATCGATATACCTATATAGAGTTGCTACAAGCTGCACTTAATAATGAAGTATTAGCCGAGGAATCCAGACGTTATGTACAAGTGGCTCATGATCTGCTATTGAATAACACTTCTGTAGAGACAGGTGCCGAGGAGACAGTGCTGACTATAGGTGGAGAAGTGCAAAGTGAAAGTGAAAGAGAAGAAGAGGGTGATGATGGAGAAGAAGACGATGATGACGGAGAAGAAGATGATGACAAAGAAGAGGATGATGATGGAGAACAGGATGATGATGGAGAAGAGGATATTGAAGGCAATGATGATAGTGATAGTGAGCATAAAAATGAGAGAAGAACAAAGAAAAAAGCTTATCACTTTCAAGCACCGACGTTGCAAGAGGAATCGAGGGGGAATTTGCGGTCACAAAGAGATGGGAATGCCGACAAGGGACCTGATGTGAGGTTAAAGAGTCTTCTTAGTTGGCCAATAAAAGCATTGAGGCGGAGAAAATGACCTCTTTTTTATTTTTTGGATATGTATATTTGAAACAAATATTATATCTGCTTTTTCAATTATGAGAAAGTCATCATGTTGGAGATTGTATATTTTTTGGCAATGTAACTTGGTTATATGATGCGGGTTCTTTTCGATTTGATCTTGTCTACTTTGATCTTATTTTCCTCTTTAAGTTATGTTTTTCCCTCAAAGTTTCCTCTTCTTGTTCATTTATGTTGATTATCTTGATTAAGACATCATGCAAAGGGTAACTTTTGTGTTCTATGGTTTATAGGCCTTGGCCTCCGTGATTTCATATATTCATGGATTTGCATGCATCGTTCTCATCAAGTGAACCTATGCATTTGTTACCCATGTTTCTGTTAAATTGGTGAATCTCATTTGTGGGGCAAGTCCATGAAGTAATGTGCCTGGATACTGTACTCCGAGTTTGATGTATGAGTTATTGTACTTGCCCATGAAGCAATGTGCATGTCTTCTTCTGATAGGGTAATTGGATATATTTATATATTATGATAAAATTTGGGCCGATCCTAACAGGTTTTGGGATGAGTGATCCATGTCACCACTCTTTTTGTTTTAAATGTTGATTAAGACAATAAGGAATAAAAAAGGAAAAATTTTAAGAGAGAGTATATACTAAAATGATTTATTACAAAGAGGTCACAATCACCCTTGTTCGTTGATAAGATTATGTCACTAATAAGACTCAAAATCCAAATAATTTTTTTAAATTTTGTCATATACTTTAAGTTGTACAGTTTCACATGTGACAACCAAAAGTGATTATGTCTACTATAAGAAAATTGCCTCTGAATCCCAAATTTTAACCATTGCATCTCTTGATAAAATATAGGTAATGGGTTAATTACATGTAAGGGCGCCACTGGGAGTGATCTCGCACCATCAACCTAGCAAAGTGTGTTGGGAAAGCGATCATGTATTCATTCATTATGGTCTCGCCAGACCACCAAGTCTATTTCCTATATGTTAATATATGAACCATATGGAAAGAACAAAAAATATAAAAAAGAAAGGCCAATAGATTTTCTTTGTTGCAGTTTGATGTTTTTCCTAATCTCTATAGAGGGAAAAAATAAATGGTATATAGAAGGCCCATGCTCGAAAATGAAAAGTAAAGTGCACCTGAAATCCTCATCAAAAAGCCCTCAAATTAGCTGAAATAAAATACAGTGGTGCTTGTAACAACATATTAGCTGGATCATTTATTTTTAAAATATTTATAGAACAATTATTTCATATGGGCTCGATCGCATTTGTACATTATGCAATCCGGAGGTATAAAGCATTCATCTTAAAGATGGATGCAAATAGGCGATCCATCTAAAAAAAATTATAGCTAACTATCCAAATGTTTTCTTAATATAATTATTATGTTTAACTTTCAAAATTTATTTATTTTTTCATATTCATGATCTCCATGTTAAAGATTATATATTCTCTAAAAATTAAGATGAAATTATATTTAAATAATATATTTATTGTCAATCTCGCATTTCTACATGTAAGGGTTTCGTCGCATGCGGACCGTGTTCATATTTATATATCTACATTATTTTTGAAGTTTCAAATTTTATAACTAAAAATACGAATAGATTTCAAGTCCTCTTAGAGTTTTTTTAGGTACGTTCTCTTTTCAACGCAAAGGAAAAAGATTATATAAAATGCCAATCGTACAACTTTTCAATAAAAAATGTCCACCTTGTAGTATAAAAGTGAGACACAAAAAAGGTTCATCTGACTTTGAAAACCCTTCAATTGATCAGCTCAATCTTGAGAAGTATTGATATAGAGAAAGAAGGGAATTCAAGCCACAAAAGTAGTGCATCATGTAATGCATTATCTAGACTGTATATATTTTCAAGATTTTGACTTGTTTGTGGGTATGCTCCTTTTTTTAGCTTTTATTTTAGGATGCAGTTTCTATAAGGCCTAGGCTTTATGAAAGCGAAGTACAACCTCACTCAAATCCTTGCTCATAAAGCACTTTGAACATGGAAAATCTTTATAATGGCTCTAAAATCAATTTCCAACATTGACGTTGAAATTTGAAGCCTAAAAAATAGTACAAATCTTACAGAAACGTGAACATTTATTTTAGGGGTGAAATAGATGGTTTAAATAATGTGTTATAATATACACTTTTTTTAGGGCTTGATATCCTAGTTCTTTTGTACAACCACGCAAAGGCTTTCCGACATAAGAACTGCAATTTTTTGTGAGTTTCGAGTTAGGCTATTGAAAGATTTTCCGACACTAAAATTACGTCATTTGCCTTGATTTAGTGGTGTGCTTTACTTTGATGGTTTAAAATGGACACCTTCTAAAAACTCCACCCAACGTAAAAGTTGGGCCTCATACCTACGTACATTGAAAAGACCATGAAAGGAAACATCGGAAATAACTTAATAAATATCTTCTTCTTTTTTTACAATAAAATAACTCAATAAATATCAACTAATATGACCTCTCTCTTTCTCTCTCTCATGTGTGAGTAATGGAGGGCATTTTTTTTTTTTAATAAATTAATAATAAGGAATGGAAAAAGTGTATCAAAGTTGTCAACCTTATATTTTAGAAGGTTCATTTCAAAACCTGAGAAGGTCGTTTTATCATCTCGAGGTCGAGATTTATAGATATGAAAGGAAAAAGAATTCAAATCCTAAAAGCGATCATATTATCTAAAACATCCAATTTCAAAATTTGTTAAATGTCTATAAATCTGCTCTATCTACACTATTTTTTAAACTTTAAAATCTATAATTAAAAGTGAAAGATATTTTTAGACTATTGTAAGAGTTTTTGGTACTAAACCTATGACTTAGCATAATTTAGATTTGTGCCTTAGTTTAATATTGACACTTTATATAGACCCCACTCAAACATGAGAGGAAAACTTAAAGAGATCTCTTAATTAGTATTTTTTTATTTATTTTTATTTCATTATTATTATTATTATTATTTTTGACAAAGTAAAGAGATCTCTTAACTATTTGAGAAACTCTTTCCCTCGTGCACACAAGCAGGAAAGGGTAGTCCTTGTTGGACCTTGGTGTTTCAAAGAAAATACAAATTATTAAGGATTTCGATCAGCTGGGCTGAGAAACTAAACCAAGCCGTGGCTTCCACAGGGAAGCATGGAATCTATGGCTTCCAAATTTCAATGTGTTTTTATAGTTTTGAAAGTTACAGCTTCTAAAACAGCACCAACACCTCCTATTTGATAAACATGGGAAGTCCTTCAGTACCGGAGGGAGTGATCTCTAGTAATCAAACAAATGCGCCAAGGGAATTTCCTTGAACAAATTGGAAAAGGGTTTGTGCCTTTTTAGAGAGAGGGAGAGAGAGAGAGAGAGCCGGGTTCTAAGTCATTTGTTTAAGGGAGAGGTTTGTATAAGATGTCAACCTTATACTATTGAAATAAGTTACACCTCAAAACTATATCGAAAATGCAGTTTAGGTGCCGCAAAGCCTTGTGATGATATGAAAACCTATTGTTTCCTCTAATTATGAAATTTACAAGTTCCAAAAATGATGACGATCTAGCAGATCAATAAACACTTGGAAATCTTGAAAATGGACAATCTAAATAATATGGTAGAAGATGAACTATATTTAAGACTAGAAAAATGTTTATGAATCTCAAAATTGAATGATCGATTTGAGGTTTTCTAGTATAATAACCGTCTGTAGTGAGTTTTTTAGGTGCACCTTATTATAGTTGACACCTTATATAAACATTTTCATTTGTTTGTTTAACCTCAATTTTTTAAAATTTTCATTTTAGTGAACGATCACAAAACAACAAAAATTTGACAACACACCCTAAAAAATATTTTTTAACATGATTAATATAGGACATCCATTTTAGTAAGATGCTTAGATCTAGGCTTTAGAAGGATTTTTTTCCTTTCTAAATTTTTTTGGTAGCTTTATTATCATTAGATTAACAATGTTAAAAATAAAAAACTAAAAACTAAAAAGATTTTGAATTTTTAAAGGACTAGATTTTGAAATCATCAAATGAATGGTATAGATTTATTATTGAAGGGGACTCATTTTGACCATATCTAGTGTGTACAAATTTTAGGGTGACAAATGACACATACATGGTTTTTTAAAAATATAGTTTTATTGTATTTCATTGACACAATGACATGAAACATTCTGGATATAATATATATGGACCCAGTCTATGAGTCCAACGACTCATACTATTCTCCTGCTGACTCCCGCTAACAACCATTTTTGTTATAGATCTTGGATCCAAATTTTTAGAGATCCATAATCTACACTATGATGATCATGAATATAAAAAATAAAAAATATAACAAAATAAAATTTTAAACACTTTTTTTAAAAAAATCCTATACGTTCGATAGGAATCTTTAGAGTTGGGGGTTCATATTAAAGATGAATGTTTCACTAGTCCCCTGACTCAAAAATACTTCTCCTCTATATATATATATATATATATATATATATATATATATAGTAGTAGT